AAAGAAAATAGCTAAAGCTATGCGAAATCGTAACGTAAAGAGAGCTGTCATTAGTCAAATTTATAGTTCTTTTTTTCTTCCCTAGATTCCAATTGTATTATTTGATGAGACAGGGCGTAAATCATCAACATCTACTATTGATTCGAGCACTATCGTAAGTAGCCTTGTATCAACATTTTCTCGAATATTTTCTTCTTAGACTTGTGAGTCCACTACCGGCGATCAAGTTCAACTGCTTCAAATTGCAGTAGATAAAGCAAATCCAAATAAATTTGTTTTAAAAGCTGTAGATCGAATATTCAAACAGAGAAAAGAACTTTTTCATTCATCCTCGATCGATACAGATGATAGAATTAAAGCTATTCGAGGTAAGCCATTTCAAATTTATTACGTAAAAAGTTCTGTTTTTATTCTAAATTCTGTCCAAGTAAAATTTGGTTTAACAAATGATGAGCTGGCAACAGTTTGGATGCCGATGCTGGAATGCATCAAGTCTAAGCGAAGAAATTTAAAAGGTAAACTACGCAATACAACTACATCAAGGAGTTTCTTTCCCGAAAAATTCTAAAATACGTTTCTACGTTTTGCCTTCTAGATGAAAGTAGTCTTCAAATTGGGCCCGAGAGGTCATCAGTACAACTGATGTCGTCAAGGCATCAAATTTTTGACAATCAAGAATCCAACTGAGAACCTTAATGATGAAAAAATACGCATTATAATTATAATTATTTTGGTATTACTTAATTTAAATTTGACTGCTTTTGTTTGATATTATATTTTACTTATATATACATGGTATCCTGATTTATTTCTTACAACTGAATCTTGTAGATCCGGTTCAATTGACTTATATCGAACTCCAGGATACTTCACTCTTTTACATTTTAAATGCTATTCATAATTTCGAACCTGACTTTTGTTGTCTTCGTTGGTGTTAATTTCAACGTTTTTCCTCTTTTTTCTAACTTCATGACTTGACTGTATAAAAACACAATGAGTAACAATAATTATCTTTGCTTTTTTTTCTTGATTTTATTGTTACTTTTGATATTATACATAATCAAAATAGTAGGGTTTTTGTAAATAAAACTAAATCGGAGCAATCGATCCAATTAATGAAAAATAAATCTCAGAAATCACGATAATATCAGATAAATCAGTGATAAAGCTGTGATTAATATTGAAAAAAAATCGAAGATAAATCGCGATTTATTGCCATAATCGCTAAGAATATCATTAAAAATCGGCGATTAATCGCGTTTAAGCTCACGATTATCGTTTCGATATATCGCGATTAATCAGCGATTTTTTACCGATTTATAGGGCATGGGTAAAACTACTTGCTAATGTTTTAATCGTTTGATTTCCTCATTTTTTGTGACAGCGCATCCTATACGATTCGATTCGCACTATAAAGCTGTATTTTTTTTCCTCTTACTTCCACGAGTTGCAGATATGCTTCGCAATATGCCTGTGACACACGTAGAGTGTAGCTGTCATGTTGGAAAACATTTACTGCTTTTTTTTCCTTACATCAAATTCATAAGATAAATAGTAGAATAACTTTTCAATTTACCTTTAGGCATCAATAGTTTGTTTTTCACTTATTTTCTGTTTTTGCCTATTGAAAATTACTCATTCTGTTGCATAGACGTCCATCGTGGCGATGGTGCCACGATAATAGCAAGATTGACAAAGAAACACCATTTTACCGCAGTGGCAGATATTTTCCAGGCCTTTCTCAATTGTTTATAAAGAATTCTGTAGTTATTGTCAACGAAATTTCATTAGTCATTAGGTTATTTAGAATTATC